AAAAAATATATATAAAAACATATATATATATAAACCACCTTGGAACTTCACAAGTGTTGGTAACTGCTCAAAGAAAAAGCATCCTTCCTAGCGGACACAAACCTTATGTTTCAGCTCAGTACAAAGTGTGGCAACTTTGATTTCTCTCTCTGTCCATACCCCATTCCCAACAGCTCCCCAAAACAAGAAATGGGAGAAAAAAAAGAAAGTAAAAACCCCCAACTTCTGATTAGGAAGACCCCTACCTCTCCGAATCCCCGCTGGGGCTCAGATAGAGCCGTCTGTAGGCGCTCAGCACAGCCTCCTTAATACCAGGCTCTTTTGACCATATGAGGGCGAGCATCCTTCGGACTCCGAGAATTGCCTGGGACACACCAAACTGCGAGGCTGTCACAAAGAACTCAATGGCCTCCTGCACCACTGCAGAGAGAAGAATAGTTACAAGAGCACAGTTCTTTCCTTATTCTCATTAGAGAGGCCATTAAAACAAATTCATAGGTGTGCTGCTCTCACAGCAAGCCCTGCATGCAGCAAGCCAGAGCAGCTGAATGTAAGTCCCAGTGCGACGCGGTAACCAGAGGAACTAAGCTATCTGATTTATAAATGGGGTAAGACATAATGTATTTGATTCCAGCTTGACTACTCCTGAAATATACTGCCCAGTCTTCTGCTTGTAAGACAAGAAAAAACATTAAGCTGGAGAGCATTCACGAGAGAGCCACAGTAACGATTAGAGGGACTGTACAATGAACAGTTCATAGAGTCTGACCTCTGGTTAAGTAGGAGCTTACACTAGCATAAGCCCCAACTTATAAATCTGAATAAAGATCCCCTACCAGACAAGCTGGTATGCTTCCCCTTCCCCCAGTCACAGCAGAAGATATGTATTTGCAACAGAAAAAAATAAAATTAAGTCTTAATTAATTTTAAATCTTGAATGAAAAAAAACCTAAATCTGAGCACACACATTCCTTGCCAGCACCCTCTCACCCAGCAGCCTACGGTCTCCAAATGGAGACAGTGTCTCAAGATGTCTCAGCTGTCCAGACACCCAACTTGCCTTCCTTACACTACAGCATAGGGAAACAGGGAGGTGCAGAGTTGGTAAAATCTGCATAACCATCAAAAAATTACACCCAGGTGTTTAAGTATCAAGTGAGGGTGAGAAGCACCCTCTCAGCCTTCAAATGATCTGTAAAGACACTGAACTCAGGAGTTCATTTTTGTGTGCACAGACAGCTCATGACATCCAAACCTTGCTGGGGAAGCCCACGTGCTTATTATGGGTAACACAGGAGTTCTCAATACAGCTGAAGCCTCAGAAGTGTCTGCCTGAAGCTAAGGTGCTGTAGTGCCCAGACCCATCTGTAGCCCAGAACCATGCAAGCGGATGGCAAGTGGATGTGCCAGGGAGGATGGGAGAGGAAGGAGCTAATTCAGGATAAGCACTTAAAAAGAAAAGTCCAACTGGTTACAGTAATTATAACATTAAATATGAACAGCTGAATTAACTTTGAGGCCTACTCATCACCACCTTTCACTGCAGCAGTGAAGAGGAGCAGGCCACAGATCAGGATCACTTTTAGCTAAAGAATAAAGCTGAAGGAAAAGCAAGGCAGACAGAGAAGCTGCTCGGTTCCCCTCTTGTGGCCAGCGTAACACCTGAAGCTGCATCAGGGCACTGAGCAGGTAACAGAACCCAGCTTCACTGGCCATGCTTACTCTAGGAGAACCTTGGCTGAGATGAACATCCATCCCCTCCCACAGGACGGGGGGAGGGTCTGTAAATTAAGTCATTTTGGTCACCTGACTTTTAAAAATATTTTCAACCTTGATGTTTAAAAATTTGATTCCTAAAAAGCCCGTTCATGCCCTAACACAACCTCTTCATGACACCCATTTAGATGTTGCTTGCTGTTCCAATATCCTGGAAGTGCCTGTGACATCTGCTCAGTGAAGAGCAGCTCCTCCAACTTTTTCCCCTTCCTCTGGAGCTCCACCACTCCCACATCTCCTCTTCAGCAAGGGGAAAGATCTGGAAACCCTGAATGGGGGACATAGGGGCCCATGGCTTTTTCACACACCTGAGACACAGTTTTCATACATCAGCTTGCTGACCAGGCTCAGGGCTTCTATGATTTTCAATGAGAAGTTATAAGCATCCTGCAGGTATTGCACCAACATCTCCTGTTTGACCAGCTCTGTTTGAGGCTGCTCTTCCGGTACAACTTCTTCAGTTTCGTTGCCATGTGGAGAATTCTCACTGTTCTCACCTGGGCATGAATCTGCACAGCACAAACACTTGTCTGTGAGCAGTATGGAAGGTACAAGAGAAACAGACACAGTTCAGGGGATTTCAACCCTTCTCTCTCCACCCCATAGTGACACTTTGCAAGAGCCAGACTTCCACAAAAAAACAAATTCTGCTATCAGACTTAGCTACAAAGACAACATCTCAACAGGTTGTAGAGCAAGTTCCAGTACTACAATACGATGCACCACAGAAATGACAACTTAATACAGGGGTGGAGAAAGGCATAGTCCAGTTAGGGTAAATTCCATTAAAATGCTGAAGGGGTTAATCTGAACTTGACAGCTCTCCAAAGATGGATGAGGTCCTAAAAGGGAATCAGGGCAGAGTAGGAAGAAGGCAAACACGCCTACTCTCCAGCAAAGTTTGTGCAGTCCTGGGGAGTTGACAAAGTTAAGAAGATTAAATTATTTAGACGGTAGCCTTTTGATAGAAATGAGCTCAAGAGGATTGGCTAGGAAACCTTATTCTGAAAGAAACACCAGAGATAAAGCATGTGAAGTCTTAAAAATATGCTCAGAGGCTTGAGCCCCAGATAAGCAAGACTTTGCTTGAATCGGATACTTGGTCAAGGCTGCTACAAGTAAACGTTATGTGCCACCACCTGTTCAGGAAGCAGAACTCCTGACAAATTCAGACAGGACAGGACAGCGTGAGCAGAGAACACTGGCTTCACTCTCCTCAGCAGATGTCAGATGAGTTAAAGCATCAGAAATGCACCTCTAGTGGGAACATGGAGCTATTCCAACTACTGTGATCCAGCAAAAATGCTAGGCCACTAGATGAGCAAATGATCCAGAGATGGTGCAGCTCTATGAGTTGTCAAGTACATACAGACTGAGCCTCATGGGTCAGAAGGAGGGCCAGGGCATTCCAGAGGGTTTTGGTCTAGCTCTCGCATCAGCTTGGACTTAGGGAAGAAACAAAGTGATCTGAAATAGTTACCTGTGTAAAGTCTCTTTAGAACAGCCAGGATCGTTGCCTCCTCGTTTTCCTCCACAGGGCCACTAAAGGGCTCCTTCCCCTGGAAGTGACACAGGGCCTTCTGCGTGAGGCGGGCTGCGCTCCTGGACAATGACATTGCCCAAGAAGAACATCAGCAACCCATGAGAGCAGAACAGAAGAGAAACCATCCAACTTTGCCCTGAACACCTGGGAAAACAGCTCCTGCCAGAACCTTGTGGTGGGTGCCCCTGTCAATCTCTTCCTACAGAGTAATGTTACTGGAAATCATCCCTCTACCCTGGAGCTCAAACCTTTCTCGACCAGAGAACTAGGGAGCAAAACATCCCTTGGGATAAACACTCTCTCAAACCACAGAGCTTTCTTACTTGTAGTTCAGCTTCCTCAGCAGCCCAGTGATTTGCTCCGAGGTACTCTCCGCTGTTTCCTCAAGTTCCAGCACCTCCTCTTCCCCTTCCTGCAGTGGCTGGAAGAGCTGCTGTGTGGCATCCCTAACTTCTGGCAGCATCGCTTCCCACTCTTCCTCTCGGGTAATCGCTGGAGCTACAAAAACAAAACAAAACCAAACCCACAGAGGAAATGAAGAATATAGAGACTAAAATGACACCCTAAATGGGGAGTTCTTCCCAGAATAGTGTCTGTTCCTCCCACAGACAGACATTATTCCCATTGCTGATCCCACCCAGACCACAGTACAAACAGACAAAAACTCTTTGGCATAAAAAAAACCCCAAAAAAACAGTGAGGTTAAAAAAATGACAGGTAAGAGAGAACCATTATTTGCTATTTATTGTTTTGTTGGCAGCACCAAGTCCAAGGCTAACCAAGTTCAAATTAATATCTGTCCAAAATTACGTCTCAAGCAATCCTTGAATGGAAATGGAAATCTGGGAGGGTGTCCATAGGTATTTTCAGTTCTTACCCTGAACATAGGATATTTAGCTAAACGGACTGTTGGTCTAGATATGGACGCTCACATGGTCCTTTTATAACACCACTGTATGAAAAACTGTTGTGAGTTTAATCCTAGTTATCTCGCCTCACTGTCTCACACGGGTGAGACATGAGACACTAGCCACCACAACCTGGGAGCAAATTTAAGATAAGGCAAAATAAGCCCAGGTATGGCCTGGGAAGGGGAAAGAGGAAGAAGGGAAATTACCTGCTGTTGATCTGACACGGTCCCTCATTTCCTGCAGCTTCTGCACCTCTTTCTTCAGTGGCTCAGCCAAGTCAGCACAGCTTAACTGAAGATGCCAGGAAGAGAAGAAGAAATACTTACTTATCTTCCTTTTTCTGAAATGCTAGAATTCTCTTTTCTCTTCCACTCCCTGCTTTAAGTTGTCAATTCCCTCAGATAACCCCATTTTGGAAACTAGAATAGTAGACTCTGGCCATCATCCTAGAATGGGAACTGCTGTAAATTGCCAGTTTGAGGTTCAGAAGCTCAGGGGAAGATGTGGCTAAACACAAGGAGCTGCAGCTCTGCGCAGAATGTTCTAAAAGACTAATTCTGATCCTAAGGAAAGAAACCCCACAGCGGATTCAAATCAAACTGCTGCAGGTTTTTCCACAGTCAAACACATTTCCCCTGGCCTTCAGTACACCTACCAATTACACCAAGCGAGGGAAGAGCCAGAGGAAGCAAGACCTGAGTCTGGGAAAAACAGAAAGCTCCCACCTGCAGAGTCAAAACCTATGCTGTCCCTCCCACAAGACACAGAAAGGCTGCTGCCCTGGCTATGGCACACTGCAGGTGTTAGCCTGCAAACAGACATCTAACATATCCATCAGACTAGCTGGAATTACCTTGCAGAAGAAGGGACTGTTGGACAAAAATGCAGCCAGGAGCTGGATCGCGTTTTTAACTACTACCACAGATTTGTCTTTGAGACGCCCAACAGCCAGCGATACCACAGACTGAAAGTGAGTCAAAGGCAGGGCCTAGCACACAATGAGAGGATACACCAAGTTATCAAGAAGGTCCAGAGACTCATGAGAAGTTATTTTACCGCAGACATATTAATGTCCTAAAAGGCACAGATTATAGATTATTAAAAAGTTGAGGTCTGAAGACATCATCTGGTCCAACCTCTGTTGAAAGCAAGGACTTAGATTAGGTTATTCAGGGTCCTGTTGGGTCCAGTCTTAATATATCCAGCAAGAGAGATGTTTTCCCATACCAGTGTTCAAAAAGAGGTTGCATATTATGCTTTTCCTTCTAGTCTGTCCCAGGAATAAAGAGCAGCATTAAATTTCTGTTCCCCAGTTCAGCTATCCCTAGGATCTTTGGTCTCTTGGGAAAAAGGAATTGCAGACACCACAGTACATACACAGGGACAATACGTTCCTCGGTTAAACATCAGCCTCTGCAAACAAAGAGCAGGGAGACAGAAGCTCCCTTAGAAAGCACAAGAGAGGAAGGGATGACTGCAGCAAGGCTGTTTCCCCAGCACGGGCTTACCTTGCACTGGACAATTCGAGTGAAAAGCTGCAGCACGCGGCTGCGCACAAAACTGTGGATGTCACAGGCATGGGCCTGCAGCATGTTCAGGAACTTGTCCCGAGTACCACGGGCAGCTTCCTCCAGCTGGTCACCGTTCAGTACCTGCACCAGCACTTCCGCCATAGCCGCCAAAATGGCATTTCGCATCATGTAATTCTGCAAAAACAAGAGTTGTTGAACCAGAAACAGACAAAGAGACATGACCTGATATGCCAAGGGGAAGGATGGCCCAAACTCTGGGCGATCCAAGTCCCAGGCTCCAGCCTTAAGTGAATTTCTCGGTTATGGACTTTGTATTAACCTTGGAGGAGCATGGCTGTTCCTGCAAGACAGAGTAATCCAAACCTGCCATCCAGCTAGGTCCACAGAAGCCAAGAACTGATATGGGAAACACTTACAGCTTGTGAGGGAAGTTTAAGAAAAGGAAACAGAGTGACAAACTCATTAAGTGCTGAAGAACAAGGGCTAACAGCTGGGATCTCAGAGCAGTAAGCGGTCTCCTGTTCTCTGATAGCTGGGAGTGACAACCAGACAGCAGATGTCATGTTTCGAGTGACAACCAGACAGCAGATGTCATGTTTCCTTTGTATCATTTAGGTAAGGGCAGAACCTATTCCAAAGGTCAGGTTTTGGCTATCTGACCTCTGTGAAAGAGGTTCTGTTTTCAGACAGAAACATTGGACCACAGCATCGCCACCACCTGACTTCTCCAGACAAGTAATATTGTGGAAATGTACCTCTCCATCCAAGTAAGGCAGGAGAACGCTCATGTTGGACAGCACCAGAGCTGGAATCTGCTCAGCCAGTTCAGTTATAAAGGCAGCATAACCCCTGAATCCAGAAGCATCACGAGCCAGATCCTGTGGGCATTTCTGTCCAATTTCCCTGCACAGAAAGAGGAAACAAGGAATAGTGTGCCTCAAGTTGCTAGGGAGAGAAGGACAAGCTCGGGGCATTTTTCTCACCTTAGCAATTCGCCCACCAGGCTTTTCAGACCATGCTCTGTAGCCCAGAGGCTCACAGCCTGAGCAAACACCGGGGCTACGTGTTCAAAGTGCTGCAGCATCTGCGTGATCTTCAGAGTGGCATCTTTCACACGTGAGGAAGAAGAAAGAGGTCAGGGAATGTAACTAGGAATGGCTTCGGGAAGAAGGAAAAAGAGCAGGGACTCACTGAACATGTGGTCATGGTGAATCAGAGCTGTAGCAAGCAGACACGTCACAGCCTCCCGTGCAGCCCGGTACTTCTGAAGACCGATACTTGGATTCTCCAGGATACGATAGCCACTTCCTGTCATTAAGCTAAAGCCACAGAAGAGAGACAGTGAACCTCACTACGACAACTTGCACCATCGTTCTAGCACACTGCACTAGGCAAACATTTCATAGAATCACAGAAAGGTG